TTCAAGGAAGTGAATTTGAAAATAATTGAATAAAATAAGGAGCCTTTCTAATTGCATTCATTTGATTGCGCGGAAGCAGAAATTATTGCCTCCTGTTTCCAGGCGCTGGAGGGCATTTCTGGCAGCATCTCAGCTGGAGGTCCGGCTGCAGGTCCCCTCCCTGGGCTTCCTGGGCATCCCCTGTCAGGCAATTGTGGGGGGGAATGAACTTTGCTGGGGTCTCTCCTCTGTTTATCACCTCCATTGCAATCAACCCTGCCTGGCCTTTCCCAGCACAGGGGAGCCAGCAGCTCCGCTTTGGAGGGGGGGGGGGGGCTGAGGCACAAGCAACACCGGGGACTCTGATGCATTTGCACATGGGCCTATGAGCCTCCCCCCCCCCCATCACAATCTTTGCATCTCCTGATCAACAAGTGTTTTAAAAACATGCAATTGATTGTCCTTTACAGAAACGTGTTTTTGCCACAAGGAAAGCCTCCCTGATCAATCCGATTTGCAAACCCTCCAAAGGACTCTCCAATTAAGAATGGAAAAGCCCACAGCCAGCCACCCATTAGCAGCTCCTCCATCGTCCTAGGCTGGCCCTGCAGATTTTCCTTCCCCTGAAAGTGATTCATGAGCCAGGAGGAGACTGTTCGGAGTCACCGGAAGGGATCCCGGGAAGCGGAAGAGCATCTGTGCCGTTCCAAGATCCCTTCGGCATTGGGGGTTTCCTGCACGGAGGGAGCCCGTCTCCCTCCAGACCCCAGGGTTTCTTTCTGGGACAGCCAGAGGCTTCCAGGGGCTCCTGCTCTGGCCTTAAAAGGCCCTCCTTCCGGCTGGGGGGGGGGGGTTGGCCCACTGCTCCCCAGTTCTCTGCTGTGGCCTCTTGGTGGTCGCCTGGTCAAGACCGCCAGATGCGGCCAGCCCTCCAAGGGCTTCTCCTGGGCTTCAGGAAAGATCTCCTGCCAAGGCCACCATTGGGAGGGGAGAAGCTCCAGCCACGGGGCTCAAAGTGCCAGGCTCCCTTGCCTGCCCACGTGGGCACAGAGGCAGCTGCCACGGTCCCTCCCCCCTCCTCCCTGGGATAAATTACAGGGGCCTTGGGGTCTTTCACCACCTCCCCCCACCCAGGACGGTTCAATTGTGGGCTTTGGGTGCGCTGGAGCCAAAGGGAAGAAGGATGCCGGATGTTCTTTCAATATCACGCTCACGCCGTCCCCCCATCAAGATGGCTTCTCTGGAGCCTCCAGGGAGGGAGAAGAGGTGGGCCTCCTGAGACCGAAACCTTCCCTGGCTCCTACCGAGCCTCCTCCAGCAATCGGGGCCTCCTAACTGAAGCCACCCTGAAAGTCCCACGAGCTGCGCTGCGCTTCCTATCGTATTGTCTGAGGACCTCCCTCCTCCCAGCGATGCCTTTCTCCAGCCAGAGGCCTCCAAGAAGCACTTTCCCCATTTTATTTCCCCAGAGCGATGAGACCCCCTTCCACTTCGGCAGCCCTCCTGCAGCCGGGCTCCTAATTGTGCCAAAGCACAGAGAACAGAAGAGGCTGGGAAGCCCAGGGGGTTTGGGTCTGAGGCCTAGGCCCCTTCCCTTCTCCCCCCCCCACCCCAGAGGGTAAGAGAACCCCAGCAACGATGCCAAAGGCAACTTGGCTCCATCGTCCCCAACCTCCCGTCCATCCCTTGTGCAGAATTTAAAAACAGATCTAAATATTCTGCGCAGCGACCGATGCCTGGCTCTGCGCTCACATTTTTCCTGCCATATTTGGACATGGGGCAAGCTGCCCTGAGCCACCCCCCTTCCGGGGACTCTCGTCCACTGGCACCACTTAATCCCATCAGGTCCCACATGGCTGGGCGTGAAGAGGAGGAGGAGGAGGAGGGGGAGGCTGGCCAATGGTCAGCTGAGTCAGCCTTTTTCTCTCACTGCTTCCTGCACAGCCCAAGGCAGGCGCCCCAAAGATTGGCCCCACTCAGTGTCCACCAATCCAGGCCAAAAGCCTTTGGGGGGGGGAAGAGTGGGGGTATCCTGGGCTCTTGTTTGTGTGAGGCAAGCAAGGCCTGTGAGGCTCCCGGGGGTCCGCAGGGCCTGGTGGTCTCCTCCCCTTCAAAGCTCTAGAGGCCCCTGGAGTGGCTGGGAGAGCCAGGCTGGGTCAGGCAGTGGAGTGGCTGCACCCTGAATGCCAGCTGCCTCCGTCCCGGGCAGAGCTGCCCAGAGACCAGCCTCTTCTCCGAGACAGCCCCCACTCCCCCAGTTTCAAAGGGGATGAGGGAGGAGGAGGGGGTGATGGCTACTCAGGGCTGCAGGCTGGCACCTCCAAGCCAGGAGAGCCCGTGCTGAGCTGCCTGGAGCCCCACAGGGGGGGAGGGGGCTCCTGGGCTCAGTGCCTCCTTGCAGGCATCTTGGGGGAAGCTGCTGGGCCCCCCTGGGGGGGGGGGCTCCCCTTTTTCTGCCACACCAGGAGAAACGGAAGCGCGTTTCAGATGACAAAAGCTTTATTCAGGGTTGGAAGCAGAAGCAGAGGCAGCGAGTGGAGAGGGGGCCCGGCCGGGCGGCAGAGGGGGGCACTGCGGGGCCCTCCGGGGGCTTAGCTGGTGCGGTAGAAGGCGCCCTGCTGGTGCCACTGCATGTCCCGGATGCGCCGGACCGACTGGATGTGAGGCTGCTGGGCTCCAAACTCGAGGTTGTCCTTGTAGTCGCCCTTCTCAAACAGGCACTGGTACCCACGGTAGCCGGGGTACTGGTAGCCCACCCACCTGCGGGAGGAGGTCAGGCGGGGGCTCAATCCTCCACTCACACAAGGATGCCCCCCCCCCGTCCCAAGCTTGGAGCCCCCTCTCTGGCTCGCTGGTCTCTTCCCTGACGGAGGGTCCCGCTGCCCACCCAGAGACTTACGTGCCACTCTGCACGCGCACGGAGGACACCTTCTCCTGGTAGCCGTAGGCGTGGAAGCTGGGCACATCGTCATCCACAATTTCGATCTTTTTGCCGCTGAAGCTGGGATTCTCGTACAGGACAATCTTGTGCTCCTGGCTATCCTGCAGGACGCAGGGGAGGAGGGGAGCAGAGGGGGGGCCCCAGCCGAGTGGTGTGGGGGTCCTGGCTGAGCTCCCCAGGCCCAAACCTGAAGGGCTCCCCAGTTCAGCCTCTCCCAGAGCCCACCCGGACCGAGCGGCAGGGCAGAGGGGCGTCTCTGGGCACCTTCTCCCTCCTCCCGCTGCTGCTCCCGGCTCCCTCTCTGCCCAGCTGCCATCGCCACCCCTCCCCATGGCAGAAAACGGTTGCAGGAAGCTTACGGGGGTGGGGTGGGGGGCTGGTCTGCCAGTCCAAGGGTTTTTCCCTCCCCTGCGAGACCCCCGCCTTTGGGCACTCACCACTTTGATGGGCCTCAAGGCGCAGATGCTGTCGCTCCTGCGGCTGCTGGTCCAGGAGTCCCAGCGGGGATACTCCCCCTTCTCGAAGATGAACTGTTCCCCTTTGAAGTGGGCCTGCTCATACCCCACCCACCTGGGGGCAAAGGGAGACCAGGGTGGGACCCCGGCTGGAAGTCTTCCCCCAAGGAACCCCACTAGAGCTTCGGGCTGCCTAGGCAAGAGAGCTGCCCTCCCTCTCCAGCACTTTGGGGGGGGGCTGGGGGGGGAGAGGAAAACGGAGCCATGGGTGCACCAGCCTTCGTGGCCACACCAACCCCACGGACACACACGGCCAACGGCCTCCCTGCCCTGGCACTTACGGGCCAGAGTGCACCACGATGGAGCTGATTTTGTCTATGCCAGCCTCCTTCAAGTTGGGGCAGGGGGTGTTCAGCTCCTGGCAGCGCCCCTGGAAGTTCTCCTGCTCGAAGAGGGCGATCTGGAAGCAGGAGAAGAGGGCCCCTCAGAGCCTCTGGGGACCTGGGCCAAGAGGGCCAGGAGTCCTCCGCCTGGAGGCCCGTCCGATGGAGGGGGAGCAAGGTGGCTTCTGCCTAGGGGTTCCCCGGTCAGAAGGGACCTTCCTCCATCGGTCCCACAGGCAGGGGGTCTTCCGCCTCCCTCCTTTCGGTCAGCCCACACCGGCTGCCCTCCCCCCACTGACCTTGGAAGTGGCTTGCAGCTGCTTCGAGGTCTGATGGTCCAAGGCCATGGTGAAAGGGGCTGCTCCCTAGGGAAGAGAAGTCACAGCAGGGGTGGCAGGCAGCCCCCACCGCCCCCACTCTGCCCACCCCATCTGCTCCAGGAGGGCTACCACCCCTCCCGTCTTCTGGCCTCTCTTCGGCCCAGGGGAGAAGCCGGGACGTTGCCCGGCTGGGGCCTGGCATGGGAAGAGAGGGACGGCGAAAGACTCGCCAAGGGGCGCTTGCCAGTGCTAGAGGAGCCTGGCGCGTTTGCGGGGGAGAAAGGGGGAAAGTCGCAATGTGAAGGGAGAAGCCGCTTCCTGCGACCCCCAGAACATCCTGGGGAACAGAAAAGGGATCCTGGCCCATTTAGCTGAGAAGAGACCCCCTCTTTGACCGCTTCCAGGGACCTCGGCCATCTGGCCAAGGAAGAGGCCAGGTGTCCCACTCCTCCCTCTGCGGAGTCTCTGTCCTTGTTTTGGGGAGGGGGCTCCCACCGCCTTCCTTCCTCTTCTGCCTCTGCTCCGCCAACCGGCCCTTTGCCTGGGTGGGATTCAGCCCCGGTTGAGAGAGAGCCCCCTCGAGAGCCCAGGAAAAAGCCAAGCGGAGGAGCCCTACCGGTTGCACCAAAATTTGCTTCTGCCGCTGAAAACCCGCCGCCGAGCCCCACCATTTATAGCGTGTGGCAGAGTCCCAGGCCAGCAGTATTGATCAGCATGTGACCCGAACCAAGAATGCCGGATTAAAGTATAATGCAAACAGAGTCCGCTGCCCCCACCCTCCCTTTGTCCCGGCAGAGGTATTTTCATGAGCTTTCACTTTGGAGCGCCCGCTTTGCTTGCTCAGCTGGGTGGGCAAGGAGCGCCCGGTTTTGTTGACCTCAGCAGGTGCAGCCGCCCCGGGGCCTGGCACTGCGACCCCCCCTACCCCTCCCCAGTGGCCCCAGGGCTGTGTCAGCTGGAGCCGGTCTCTGCCACCAGCCCTGCGTAGGAGCCCAGCCAGCTGTTTACGGCTGGGCAGGTGGCTTCTCCATGCCACGCAGGGCTCCCGTCCCACCAGACCGAGGGCCGGAGAGGCTTTCCTCTCTGAGAAGCCAGGAACCCAACCCGCAATCAGGTTCTCTGCTGACAGAGGCCTCCTCCATGCAGCCGCCCAGGGCTTGTGCTGGGCCTTCCGGACACGGCGGCTGCGGTTCATGCTTGCCAGGCTTCCCGGGCACTGCCTGCCCCGAGAAAGCCCCGTCTCCCTGGAGGAGAAAAGCACGGCAGAAGCTCCCCCATCAGCTGCAGCCCAGGGGTGACCGGAGAGCATCACTGGCGGGAGCGGCCTGGCCAGTGCAGCCCCCGTCTGCTCAGTGGCAGCCTAGGGGCTCCCAGGGGCTCTTCTGGACCGCAGGGGCAGCCAAACCAGGAGACGGGGGGGCAGATGCAGGGGGGGGGGCACCCGCTTCCAGTGCTGGCTGCTCCCAGGGGGACCAACCGGGGTCTTCTGGGGTCTCTGCAGGACGCCTCAAGGGCTCCCCCGTGTGGCAGCAGGGACTCTGGGCATCCAGGACAGCCGCTCCCTTTGATCTGGAAAGGAGGCAGCCCTGCCCCCCCCTGCCCCCCCCCCGTCTTCTGCCCAGAGGGAGGGGGTTGCTTTCAACCACCGAGCGAAGAAAGAAAACCTCGTCCACACCAGTTCACTCTGAGAAGCTTTTTAATCAGACGGTCGAGACTGGACATGTCCACCCGCAGAATCTCCGTGCGCAGCTTCCCAGGGATCTGCCCCAGCCTCAGAAACGCTGCCCGATGCCCGGGCTTCCTGCTGGCACTGCCAGGAGAGGCCTCCGCCAAGTGGCACTGCCCCCACCCCCCAACGAGGGACAGGATGCCCGAGGGCTGGAGGCCTAGTGGGGCAGATGGGCCAGGCTGGGAACGGGAGGCAGGGAGGGAGGGGAGAAAGGAGCCATGGCCCAGGAAGGGCACCTGGGAGGCTCACGGGCAGCTTAGCAGTCTCGCCTAACAGCAGGCTCTCTCTGTCCCCTCCGGCCGGACCCTTTGGGGCGCCAGAGCGTTTTGAGAAGGACACTTATGGGGGGGGGGGGCGGAATGCAAGTTTCCAAGCACAGCAGCCTCTCGGGAGGCAGGAATGCAGAGCCCGCGGGTGGGCACAGGGCCGACCGAGCAGCCAGCCGGCCGGGAGCAGAGGCAGCCTTGGGGTGGCCGCCTCCAAAGGGGTGAAAGGCAGGCGGGTATGACCCCCATCCGCCCCACAGCCTAGCCACAGGGGTCTCCAGAGGCCTTCGGGCCCCATTCACTGAACTGCCCCATTTGGGATTCCTCCAGCTAACCAGAGAAGGGCTTGTGGGGGTCTTCACCCCATCCCGGCCACGCAGAGGCACGTTCGATTGCTGGGGAAGAGACTGGAATGGAAATATTCTCCAAATATTTACAAGAAAATCTACAGCAAAGACCACGAGGCGTCTGGGGCTGAGACCCCGTCGGCTTCTCTCCCCCCTCCTGTCCGTTTCCCTTCTCTGAAGTCCAGGGAGAAGCCGCCTCCTGGAGGGGGGGGGGGATTTACAGCTGTTCTGGGCTTTATTGCTTTCTCTCGCCTCGGACAGGACGGCCGACAAAACTCCCACGAAAAACCCCTCCTCTGAACAGCCACAGGGAGGAGCCACGTTGCCCCCTGGCCAAGGAGCAAGCCCCCAGCGCCTCCCTTCAGCCGGTCAGAAACAGATCCTGGGGAAATCGGCTTTTCCTCCTCGGTGTGGCAGCCAGCGGGATCCGTCTCCCCCGTCTGCAGAGAGGAAGAGGAAGGAGGAGGCCTCTCCTCCCCCCCACGGATCCCGGGTCCTTGACTCCCCAGCAGGAAGGCAGCCTCAGAGGCAGGGCGGTGGGGCTGGGCCCCTCCCGGGGGTCCTCCGGGGCTGGAGCCAGGCAGGGCCCCAAGGGGAAGGCACTGAGCGCGCAGCGGCTGGTCAAGGCGAGAGGAAGCCTCGGGAGGGCAGGGAACGGGCGGCGGTCAGTTAAGGCAGCTCCTCCTCCGGCCAGTCATGGCTTCGACCTGGAAAAGAGGGGCGGGGGGGGGGGGGGAAACCGGGTCATCTGAGCTGCCTGGGCCTCTCTTGGACCACCTGCTGCCTCTTCCCCCTCCCTGGCAGGCAGGCAAGGAAGCTGCCCGGGCTGCGCTCAGGCCACCCTCCCTTTGCCTGGCACCAGCAGCAATTCAGTGGGTGAGCCCGTAGAGGCCCCCCCCTCTCCCTCCCGCCCTGCCAATGCACCCCCCCCACCCTTCCGGTACCTCAGATGGGGCTCTCGGGCTGGCCCTGCTCCCTCCTGGACTTCAGCTCCGTCAGCCATGCAGGGGGCACCTCCTCCGGCCTAAAAGGCAGCAGAGCTTCAGCCACCGCCCTCGGGGGGCTTCCCCAGCTGAGTGGGGCAGGGGGGGGGGAGGGAAACCGGAGAGGGGGCCAAGGGGAGGCTTTGCTGAAATAAGGGGCAGCCCTGCCTCCCCCCCCCCTTGTGGCCTGCAGGGACACGTGACTCCACCCCCCCCCCAATCTCTCTCACCTCCCTTCCTTCTTGGGGGTGGCCACCAGCGCCCGGCCCCCGGAGACTCTGGCCGGAACCGGACCTTTGGGCGACTTGCAGAGGGGTGCTGGGGGGGCTTCCTCCCTCCTCCCTTCCGACTCGGGCCTTTTCCTGAGTTGAGCCTGTGGAGGAAGCCCCAAACCCCTCTCAGGAGAAAGCGGGGAAGCAGCCGAGGGCCCACCGGGGTGGGGGGTGGGGGGGGGAGAGCTGTGTCCAGGAGCCTCCAGGATGGCCCCGGGCAGGGCAGCCATGGAGGGCTTCTCCTGGGAGGGTAGGGGAGGGGGGTGGGGGGAGCTTCCCCAATGTACCTTGAGGGCGGAGGGGGCCAGGCCCGGAAAGAGAGGCAGCCGTGGCTGGGAAGAGAACGGCCGTTCCGCTGGAGGGGACTCCTCCTCTTCCTCCCCTGCCCTGGGGGGCTTCTCTTCTTCACCATGGGGAGGAGGGGAGAAAGGAGAATTATCACCAGACCAGACTGAAACACCCCCCCCCAAAAAGAGGCTCCAGGGCTGAGAGGGGGCTGTGGCTGCTGCCCCCCCCCCAGCCCTTCAGGCCAGACCTGTGTGGCCAGGTGTCCTGAGCCCCCTTCCCATAGCCCCCCCACCCTCTCGAGTGGCTGGCCAGGGAGTGGGGGTGGACTCCTGGCTGCAGTGTCCTCCCCAGGGGCCCCACCTGTGCAGTCCCTGAACATCCAGGCGCTGGCTGCTCCCTCCCCCGCAGCGATGGGGGCCGGCTGGGGGTCTCCACTGGCGCCCCTCCGGAGGGTGTGGGAGATGGGGGCCCGGTGCTGCTGCAGCTTTTTGCCCAGAAGGACGCGGCTCTTCAGGACCCCGCAGTCCAGCCGGGGAGTTTGCTGCAAGGGAAGAGAGAGAGAGGTTGCCATGGAGCTCAGACCCCCCCTCCCCTTTCCAAAGCCCCAGAGGGACCCGCCCCCCCCCGCCACCCACCTCCAGGAAGGAGAAGTCCGGGCTGTCCTTCTCTGTGGTGGGGGAGGCCGGCTCTGCCTGGAGGTGGCTGGAGTTGTCCAGGCTGTGGCTCCTCTGCTCCCTGGACGAGCCCCGTTGGTCAGCGGCCGGAGCCCTCTGGGTGGAGTGCAAGGAGGCCGGGCGGCTGGGAGACTCTGGCTTCTGCGCAGGGGCCTCGCTGCCCTCCGAGGAGGAGGGAGACTCCGGGGTGAGACTAAGACAAGCACCAGGTGGGATTAGGACCCCTGGATGGCAGTGGGGAGCAGCACTGATTGCAAGGACCCCTCCCTCACCTGTGCCGGGGGGGGGAAGGGAGGGGCTTGCTCTGGGGAGGGGGGAAGGATTTTAACACCTCAAGTAAATGGGGGGGGGCATCTATAGAAGTCATCCAGCACCAAACATGGCACAAACGTCTGCAGGAGGGGCTGGGGGCTGCAATTCTCCTCCTCCCCCCCCCCCCCGGGGCGGGGGGGGGGGGGAAGGGAGGGGCTTGCTCTGGGGAGGGGGGAAGGATTGTAACCCCACAAGAAAATGGGGGGGGGCATCTATAGAAGTCATCCAGCACCAAACATGGCACAAACGTCTGCAGGAGGGGCTGGGGGCTGCAATACTACTCCTCCCCCCCCCCCCCGGGGCGGGGGGGGGGGGGAAGGGAGGGGCTTGCTCTGGGGAGGGGGGAAGGATTGTAACCCCACAAGAAAATGGGGGGGGGCATCTATAGAAGTCATCCAGCACCAAACATGGCACAAACGTCTGCAGGAGGGGCTGGGGGCTGCAATTCTCCTCCCCCCCCCCCCCCCCAGATCCCAGGAAGCCTCCTGG